CTGGGCATGGCTGGCATCCCAGAGGGGCACTGCCTGGGGTTTCTGCAGGAGGAAGGATGGGGTGGCCATGGCTGTCCTACAAACACCGGGGGCTGCACTGCTCCTGCCCAAGCTGGCAGGGGAGAGCTGCTGGGATGCTGTGTGCAATGGGATGAAAGGTATTTACTAAGTGACAGCTTGATGTCATCCATGGCCTTATCAGCCACGTAGCAGAGCACCGGGGCTGGGATGTCCCCCTGCTGAAGACCCACCTTGACTGTCCTACAACCAAAGAGGGGGACAGAGGATGAGGAGGGTCCACCCTCCTGCCCTGCAGCATGGGGAGAGCAGAGCTCCTGCTCACCAGCTTTCATACCCTCGTGTTTCATCGTCACCTCCACCCGCACGAAGAGCCTCGTCTGAGTCATCTCCCGGCTAAATGGAGTGTGTGGGCTTACGGCAGCTTTAGCTGTTCATCCTCTGCTTTGCTGGAGCCTGACACGGGGTAAGATAGAGCTATTCATCAATGTGGAGATGAGGCAGACGAATGTCCTGTACCAATAAAACAGGCCTTGCTCTCCTCCTCCCAGCTCAAGCAGCTGGTGTCTCTTTGTGGCCCAGCGAGGACTGCTTAAGTGGCTACTGCTTGAGGAGCTCAAGAGATCTTAAAAGAAATACGGACTTACGTTTCGCACTGAATGACTTAGTGCTCTGGCTATAAAATGCAGCGCCAAAGCCTCTGTGGAGAGGAAGCTCTTGAAAATGTTCCCACCGTGTGTCGAAGCAGGAGAGGGAGAGGGGGAGCGAAGCTGGTGGCAGCATCTCTGACATTAAATCCCTCTGGGGTGAGGTTGGTCCTTGCCCAGCCAGCACCCAGGACCACATCTGGCCCGGTGGCCATGGTGGCTGCCATGGGTTTCTTTGCCTGTCCCACCCTCGCCCTGCTGCTCAGCCTTTGCCACGTGCAGCTCTACCCCGGCACGTGTCCTCTGCTGGTCCCCAAGGAGCCGCAGGGCAGGGGATGGCTGCTGCTGGGGGTACTTTTGTCAGCCATCAAGTCACTGAAGCCTTGTTGTGGAGCTCAGCAGCCTCTTTGCATGCGAAATAGCAGGTCTCCAGAGAGCAAAACATTTCTCCTGGTGACTGACACCAACCTCTCCCTGTTAATGACGTTAAAAGCTTTTCAGCTCTCGGCTGCGCCGTGCGGTCACCTGCCCTCACCAGCTTCTTGCCTGTGGCACGTGCCAGCTGAGCCAGGTGCCCACCCCAAGCTCCTGCTGGTTTCCATCTTCATCATGTTTGCAGGGGCCAAGCTAAGGAGAGCTGGGGGCTGTCGGAGCACGGTACGTGCCTGGTCAGGGAGAAGTGCTCAGTGCCATGAACCTGGGGGTGGCAAAATGATCCTTGGCACTGGTGGGGCTTAAAACAGAGGGAAGGCATGGGAGCAAAAGGAGCCTCCTTGGAGGGGCAGCAGCACTTGGGGGTGACTGCGTGAGGAGGGGGACGGCGAGCCATGTCCAGGGCAGCAGGATTATGCAGCATCTCTAAAGGAAAGGTCAAAGAGTGTGTCTCCCAACAAACCTTTCCTCTGTGGTGTCACCTCCTCTGGTAGGATGCCACCGACCCGGACCGAGTGGTGGCCCCCCCTGCTCCCCAGCCTGTGGCAATGGTGTGAGCAGCCCCGCTCGCCCAGTGAGCACCGAGCTGAAGACCACGCAGTGGCAGCAGTGTGGCACAGCTGCACTTGTCACCAGGATGGGGACAGTCTCAAGGCTTGTCTCAGACCCGCTGCCAGTGTGACCAGAGCCAACCCGACCCCATCCCTGCCTGCAGGAAGGATGCTCTGGGCAGGACTGGGGGGGATGTTTGAGCACCCCAAGTTGTCCTCGCAGTGGGTACCGTGCAGTCAGTGCCCCTCAGCCCCAGGTTAACCCAGTTGGAAGCTGGGGGCCAGGGGAAATGCAGCTCTAACCCCCCCTCCTTGCTTTCCTGCCGGTGAGTGGGGCAGCTCAGGCCCCTCAGCATCACTCTGGCCAGGGCCAGCCAGCCCCACTGCGGCCCCACGGGGCTGAAAGCATCCATTTTAGGTCTCTGTCGGCAGCGATTAGGGAGCACAATGATGATGGCCGTGGGGGGGGGGGCACAGCCGTGCAGCCGGCGGGGCTGGAGCTGCTGGGGAAGGGGGAGGACTGGCCGCCCAGCACGTCCCAGTGAGGTTTTGAGGCCATTACGCAAGGGCTGGCGAGCGGCGGTGAATGGCCCTGTGTGCCAGGACACCCGGTGTCCCACCATGGCTCAGGGTGGCCCCTCAACACCCGGGATGTCACTGGTGACTGTTCCCTGCCCAAAGGAAAACTCATCCCTGTGGGATGCAGCTCTGCCTCACTGCGCTTCTCCCATCGTGGGTGTCAGCCAACTCATCCCTGTGGGATGCAGCTCTGCCTCGCTGTGCTTCTCCCATCGTGGGTGTCAGCCGTGGCACTGGGGATCCCGGCTGGAAATGGGACAACGGGGACTGCCAAACGCTGTGACCAGCTTGAACATCTGGGATTTGGGGCAGAGGATCTGCGCAAAGGGAGAAAAATATTTGTGGCTACTAAAGGGATAGTTCTGCAGGACATTTTCCTTACAGCCACCCCCGGAGTGGATGGCCAGCTGGGCGAGGGGCTGCTCGCCCTCTTTGGCTCCCAAGCCACGGGGCTGCTCCCACTGGGGATCCCGGCTGGAAATGGGACAACGGGGAATTCCAAACGCTGTGACCAGCTTGAACATCTGGGATTTGGGGCAGAGGATCTGCGCAAAGGGAGAAAAATATTTGTGGCTACTAAAGGGATAGTTCTGCAGGACATTTTCCTTACAGCCACCCCCGGAGTGGATGGCCAGCTGGGCGAGGGGTGATGAGCCCTCTTTGGCTCCCAAGCCACGGGGCTGCTGGGGAGGGGGGAGGATGGGGAGGCGTTTCTGCAGGCAGAGGCTGAGCTCACCCGCCCCGCTAATCGCCGTGGCCTACTTGGTGTCTGCAGAGAGAACGGGGCTAATCCTAATCCGGGACAAGGATAAACGGCTGCCGGTGCCGCGTGCCAGGGAGCCACGTTCTGCTTGGCACTGGCCACCATGCCTTGGTTTAGTGCCCTCAAGCTGGGGTCAGGTTGGCTAGCCCAGCCCTGCTGGTCCTGCTCTCCAGGATGGAGCTGGGACCACTTTAGAGCCTTGGTGTGTCCTCCCCTCCACCACCTCTTCTTTACAACCCCACTGCTGGCAGCACGGCCGAGGACAGACAAACAGACAAAACTCGTGTTTCAAGTTACGTGTGGCTTTTCAACCCCATCAAATAGCTTTATTCACACAAACGTCCCTTAATTTACGAAGCCTCTGCCACTCATACACATCAGGGTATCCACAGTGTTCAAAGAATTTAAATAGAACGTCTCATACCAACCCAAGTAAACCAAGTACAAAAAATATTTATATAAACTTGTTCACACATAGGTCCTAGATTACCAGCTTCTGTGCAAAAAAAAAAAAAAAAAAAAAAAAAAAAAAAAAAAAAAAAAAAAAAAAAAAAAAAGAAAAATACAGATTCATTTACTAATATCATTATCTTTAGTTTGGAGTCTGGGTTTAAGCCTTCTGCTCTCGCTAGCTCAGCACGGGGCTGCATGGAGCGGGGGGAGCCTGGAGCAGGGCTGGGACGGGGTGTCCCTGTCCTGGGGCTCACCCAGCACTGCTGCAGCCCCCGTGCCCCCCCCGGCGTGGCAGGGAAGGGGCTTGCTTCTGCAAAGCTGCTGGGTTTTGTTGGTTGAGCGAGCTGAAGGGCCCAGGGTGGGCTGGGCAACTGCCAGCACGGGGACACCAAGAACCCCCCTGTGGTCCCTGTGAGCTCTGGACATCACCCTCAGAGCTAAAAGCACTTGGGCAGGCTGCAGAAAATAAAGGAATTGTCAGGTTGCAGCTGGAAGAGAGCTGCTCCCTGCATTTCCCTTCCAGCCATACCCACCACCCCACCACCCTGCTCTGAATTGTGAAATGCTTTTGGACACAAAGGGCCACGTGCTGGGACGTGGCCAGTAACCAGCTGAGCAGCAGACGAGCTGCTAGCCCCCCCCCCCCCCCCCCCAGTGATGGTATCGAGGGACCAGCAGCATGAGCATCACCCAGATCCCACTGCCAAGAGATCCAGGGGCTCTCCTCTCCGGATGCTGCCCCTCTGCCGAGCCTTGGACCTCCTCAGCCTGGCTGATGGGATGGGAGGCTGCGAGGAGCTGGGGCAGAGCACACAGCCTTCTTCTGCAGCACAGGAGGGGCTTAGAACCTCCCCGTCTGTGCCACAGCAGTGTCACCAAAAGGGGACCAGGAGCACCCCCTTCACCCCAGTGAGCTGTAGTGTGAGGCTTGGGCAGTGCACACCTGGGGTAATGAAGCAGCAATGGGTTTCCCTGCTCTTGTGACCCGCAGAAAGAGCAGGGAAACGCATCCCAGTTTGTGCCCCGAAGCAGTTGCCCCGTGAGGCTTGGCAGGCTTAGACCCAGACTCGGTACTGCATACGGAGGAGACATACAACGCACACAACGGAGGATTTCCACGACGATGGTAATGCTTGTTTTTAAGTCTTATTGCTCCAGAAAGGCTCTGGGAGCCTCTGATATGTGAAGGAGCTGGGTCCTGAGGAGTAAAGGAAGACCACAGGGGTAACTCTTATCTGTCACTAGCACTGCTGAACCTCAAACACAGCAGCAAAGGGACAAGGAGGAAGCTAATCTAACCCCTCTAGGCTAGAGCCACCTCTGCTCTCTCCTCCCCGTGGACCGAAGCCGGTCGGGAGATCCCCGTGACACCGGCGCGATGCCGGCGGTGTCAGCCTTGCTGCAGGCTGGTGCAGATAACACGTTTCCCAATCCTCCTGAGGCTTGGCTTGTTCCCCCCACCCACCCCACATCCCTCTTGTAAACAGCGTAGTCAGAAGTAAACAGTTTCATACAATCACACCCCCCCCCCTGCCCCGGCACAGGCAACGGCTGTGGCCCCACAAGCTCAGAGGGCAGCGGGGTTTCACCAAAGGGTGCTTGGCTCCCACCACTCTGACCAGTTCTCCCCAGCACCTGGATGCTCAGCTTCACTGAGGCCAGGAAGAGATGGAGACAGCCTGGCCCCGGGCTGGGCAACGGGCTGCAGGTTTGGTCCTGCTTTCTTTAGCTTGAGTTTTCCCAGCGGCGCATCCTAATGCCAAAAACATCTACAGGGGAGGGAGAAGCTCAGCCTGCAGGAGTTGGGCAGGAGATGCCCGACAGACCCATCTGGGAATAATAAAAAAAAAAAAGCCTGAACATCCTCCATCCCACAGCACATGCAGGTTTGAGCCGTTCCCACCTTGTTCTAGAGGGAGTGCTGGTCTGGGCCAAAGTAACTGGGAGGAGAGATGCTGGGAGCTGTAAACACAAGGCAGGTTCCCGTATAGTCTGGGGAGTCGAGCACAAACAGCAGCAAAATAACCAGGGAGAAATGCTCTTAAAAGAACAAACTAATCAGGGAAGCATCCACAGTGGTCGAAGGCTACCAGCCCTCGGACTCGTCCTTGGAAGTGTTTGCTAAATCCTAAAGTAAGGCACTACGGTCTAGCTCACTAACATCAAGCTGCTTTAAAAACACAATTGCAATGCAAAAAGCTGAGGTGGAGACGTGTGGTTTGAAGATGGCCTGAACCAGCAGTGGACCAAGAGGGCTGGACCCTCCCAGGATGCTACCAGGCTCCCCCCTGTCCCCAGAGAGGCAGCCAGCTGGAAGCAGTGGTCCCAGTGAGAAACCCACTCACCACCTTCCACCTTGGTTTCCACAAGTGGAAAGGTCCCTTCAACTGGGATGTAATGCCTGGTGAGGGGCCCTTCCAGCAGGGGAAGCCACATCAGCAGGGCTGGGAGGGTAAAGCCCTCTCACTGCACTGGTTCAAGCCAGGGTTAGGTCATAACAGTCAGGAGCAAAGGCTCTGTCAGGTGGGGGAAGGATGGTCCAGTGATCAGGGCACTAACACTGTACTTGTGAACTACAGGGTTGAGCTCTTATCCTTCCTGAGGGACGCAGGAGCTGGGGGAGAAACCCCTCTGCAGCTCCTCAGCACGGCCACCGCAGGGATCTGCTGCTAATTAGAGAGAAATGAGAGCAGCCAAAGTGCTGCTCACAGCCCCCGAGAGTACTCTGTGAGTGCACAGAGCCTGCTAACCAAACCCAAACTGCTCAAACCCCAGTAACCAGCCTGGAAGGAGCCTCTACAGTCATGGTCTGGCTGTGGCTGGCCACAGCCCACAGAAGCATCCCTAAGAACAAACAGAAAAAGCAGCATGGGAACAGGGGCTTGGCGCTGAATTTGTGCTGTCCGAACCTCCCCAAGTCACAGACTGATGGGCTGGAGCCTCCTGGCATCGTCCTCCTAAAAGTGACCTGGCCTTCCTGCAGCAACAGCCTTAGCTTTGTTTCCTGGAAAAAATGGAAGAAAAAAAAAGAAAAAAAAAAAGAAAAAAAAAAGAAAAAAAAAAAGATACCCCTCCCTCTTTTCCCTGCTTTAGCTCTGCCTTAGCCCAGCTGAATTCCCTGCATTTCCATTCACTCCTCTGAGGTCAGCAAAATACACGGAGTAAATACAAAGAGGTGCTGTGTCAGTTCAGAACCTGAAGTGTCAGTGGTGACACCGGAAAGCTGCAGCCTGCAGCTCCCACAGCCAGGGACAAGGGGCTCGGAGGGACCCTGTGGCCCTGGGCAGCTCTGAGCACGGTAAGGGCTGAGCATCCAGGCAGCTCGTGAGCTCCCCAAACCGCTGCCGCGTGATTGAGCCTGATGAGAAGTGTTTTATAGTTGGTTCAGAACTTGCAGGGTGGAGAAGAGGTGGTGCTTTACATTGCATTTACAGTGGGCAAAGTCTAAAGACCATCAACACGGGGTCAGCCCTGGAATATTAGTGTTGCTCTAAATACAGGCAAGGAAATAGAGTATTAACTGCTCAGCCTGAGGTTCCAATCTTCTTACCTGAGCTGTACTGTAACCAAACCCAAACAGCAGCATTGCCTTTTGCTTCCTGAAGATAGTTATCTAGCGGGGAAAAGTGTTTCACAGGAGGCTAGAATCCAGCCTGTGAGCCATTTAGGCCAAACCTCCTCCTCCTCTCCCAAGTTTTGTTCCTAACAACTGAAGTCTGGCATTAAATGGCTCAGAGTAGTGGACTGCTTTCTGTTGCTTTCGTACGCAGACAATGTCCACCCAGAAATGTACCTATGGGCTCCCTGTTACCCTCTGCATTAGAGACTGTAACAAATGCCACGAGTGAAATCCACCTTGGGGAGAATGAAGGTCTGTCCTTGGCAGCAGCAGACCTGCCTCACTGAATGGCTTTCTAGCTTGTTTATCCTACTTTATCCTAATGTCAACTGCTCACAGCCTGGGCAGCATCCACCTACTCAGAAGCTGCCTGGCTATGAAATTATTTAGTCGCTTGGTCCGAGAGACTCACTCTTTCTAAAGCATTGCACGCCCGATGCAAAACCAGCAATCACTTTGCTCCCGTTTCCCTTAGGCAAAAGCAATACCTTCAAACCCAAAATTGTGCCCAGCTGGTGCCTGGTAGCACACCTTGCTGCTGGGCTGTGAATCCCCACCTCCTTATGGAGCCAGATCTTCTCTAAAAACACCTACTGAGTCAAATGGCAGCACAGGAGACACAGGGAGGGCTGGGCAAAGGGCAGCTCCACGCTCTGGATCTTGTTGAAAAGTTTTGTGAGTGTGACAGCTGCCAGCTTGTGCTCTTCCACAGACCCCTGCAGCCCCCTCCCACACTGCCAGAACCCCTCTTCCCAACAAAACAAAGTAACACCCAAAGATTTCACATTGCCAGAGATCCTGCAGACCAGGGGTCTTCTGTATCATCATCTTCCCTTATCTTTGCCTTCCCTCGTTGCACGAAAATAATGGAGATCATGGGTCCCTGGTAAATAAACCTGCAAGAAAAACAAGAGAGGAGAAAGAGAGGTCAGGTACGTCAGCAGTTTTGTCCCAGTAACCTCGTTGTGACAACATCCTGCCAGCCCTCCCTCTGCCACCCAACCCAGACTGCAGGCAGGTAAAGCAAGCAGGATCACTGGGGTGCAGTGTGCTTGCTGCAGCTCTCTTTTCATTCCCAAGCCTTAATTAAAGCGTTAATTGAGGGTCTGGGAGAACTTGAGGTGAGCGCACACCTTCTTGTCACACAGCCCCATAGAATGACTGCAAACAGCAATGCCTACAAACGACTGCACTGGGTGGAAGGTGTAATGCTACCCAGACTGGTGCTGGATGGAGGGGCTGGAAGACACCACCACGGAGAGGACACTCAGTCCACAGCCTCCCCACTGGTTCCAGTTAGTCTGAGATGAGCGTTCCCACATCTCTTCCCTTCACAGTTCTTTTGGTACCAATCCAGGCACTGGACTGGGTTGGTTCACAGTCATTTCTTTCTCAGGAGTGACACAGACAGCCCTGTACAGAGTACCCTGCCAAGGCCAGGACACTTCCAGCCACCCCAGTGTGTGGGCTGAGCTGGGATGGGTCAGCTGGGGTTCAAGCTGACCACACACCACTAGCAGCCCCATCCCGCAGGGCTCACTGCAGCAACAGCCTGGCTGGAAGGAGGATGAGCATTTCCACAGCACAGCCTGGCCTTGAGGGTCCACGTGATGTGTTGGTGTGCGCTGGCTCCCGCTCCTCCACCAGGAAAGGTGGAACAAGCTGTGACACCAAGGACACCCTGCGCTGCTCGCCCCGTGCGTCAGCAGCAGCTCGGGCTTCTCAAGTGGCTCTGGAAGAGGCAGGTAAAATCCATTGCAGTGCAACTGAAAGCAGAGCAGGATGGGTTCACAGCACGGCCATGCCACGTCCTGCACTTGAGATGAGGATGCTCCGTGCCAGGATTTCAGGGAAAAACAGGCAAATCTTTGCTGCACCGGTCCCTGCTCCAACGTACAGCATCCCCCATGGCCCCTGAAGCACCAAGGATGCTGCACCGATTCCTCCACAGCCCTGGCCCTGCATCCTTCTGCCCTCTGAGCTCAGGGATGCAGAAATGCTCAACTCCGTACATAAATCACCAACATTTTCCTCCCAGTTTGTTTCCAATCCAGCAAATTCCTTGTGGACATCCCATCCCATCCAGCAGCAGGGCCAGACCCAGCAGGGGAACAGCACATGTGCACGAGATGTCACTTCTGTGTTAGACATATATCACCGAGGGTGTCACAGCCTTCAGAGGAGGGACTGGCAGAGCTGAGGCCAGGGGCTGTGCTTCGATGAAAGCTGGGACCCATCTGCCTGATGGAGGGACCTGGGGGTCCCCCCACCACTGCCAGCTCTGCCCACTGGCTCCTCAGGGGCTTCCTGCAGTGGGGGACGGGGCTGGAAGTCACCAAAACACACACAAACCTTCACTCCAAGGGGAGAACCCTGCTTCACTTCATCACCCCTCGTGCTACCCACAGGTGGGAATTTTCCAGAAGTTCACAGCAGTTTAATTTTTCCCCCAAACTTGAGCTCTGAGCTCAGGCAGTTGGAAATTAGGGGGGTTCTGGGGAGGTATGGATTTAGCTGCCCCCTTCAGCAGGGGCAGAGCCATCTCGGGGGTACAGCCAGGTCCTCCCCCAACTGGGAACGGGCAAGGGGCTCTGCAGAGACCCTGAGTGATGGAGCAGCACGAGGGACCTGCTGAAGAAAAACTGCCACTGCCCAGTAAATCACTCAAATCCCTTAGCCCTAGGAAATCTCATTAAAGAAATCCCTGCCCGAGGAACACATTTCTGAAGGAAGAGGCTGTCTCTGGTCTCCGCTGCTCCAAGCAGAAGCCAGGGCCATGGGCACACTGCTTTTTCAGGAGAGGTTAACTGGGAGATGTTGCCTTTGCAGGCTGCAATCATTAAAAAGAAAAAAAAAAAAAGCCTTTCTGTTTGAGAAGGCAAAGCTCGCGAGAGGCACCCAGACATGGGGTCGGGGGCAATGGCGCGAGGAATTTTCTGGAAGATTTCTCCTGTGGTGCAGCTTCATTAACAAGTAGGGCAGCGTTTCTGCTTGAGCTTCCCTGGAGTAGGAGCGTTTTCAGGGAAGGCGGCCCCGAGCTCACAGCTCTGAGACAGGAGAGCTCCCTCCATTGACGCACGTTGTTTCGGGGGCTTGTTGGAGAGCTTTTAATCCCTCCACTGATGCCACTTATAGTTTTAATCAGCTCGAATGTTCATTCGGCATCAGCAGGATATGAACCAGCAGCCCATGGAGTCCTCATCCCAGCACCTAAGGAAGATGACACTAATGCGTGGGTCACGGCAGAGATGGGAGGTGGCAATGAGGTCTGCGTGGCAGCAGAGGACTCAGCACAGGGGAGGGAGAGATAACCCAGCACCTTCTCGTGTTAATCACATCACCTACCCCTGCGTGGGAGCACAGGGTACAAGGGAAGGGGGCTGAGAGCCTGCTTTATCTCCTAAGTTCCTCCTCGTGCTCTGTACGTACATTTGTGACACACTCCTTGGGAAGTCCCTTAAATCCAACTGCAGTGGCCTCCCCCAGGAGGGAGAGCAGGGCAACAGGGAGGAAACAAAAAGACTAACACATCTGGCCAGAGGTGACGTGATCCAGTTCATCCTCAGGGCTTTGCTTCTCTTCAGGTAGAGTCACAGCTGCCCAAAAGATGTCACCACTGCAGAGTGGTGACACCTCTGCACCCGCTGCTACAGCCAAGAGGAGGAACTGACCTTGCTTTTACTGTCCCATGGCTTGTTTTGACTGTGCCAAGATTCACAAACCACACTGAAACCAGTCTGAAGATAAAACCAACGTTCAGAAATGAACCCACTATCCTTTTCCTTGACTTGACTCGCTCACCCACTGCTGGCCAGCGGGGTCAGGGCACTTCTTACCCCATGGTCAAGTTTGAGTTGAGCAGTACTAACAGACAAGACCTAACTCGATGCAGCGATGGCCCCGCTCGCTGACAGCTCCCCAGCACAGACACTGCTGATGTGCATCCAACCCCCATCCTCCAGCTGTGAAATTCGGCAGGACAGCAGTTTGTTAGTGGTGCTCAGGAGTGGGCACAGCACCAGCGAGCTCTCTCGCTGGGGACAGACACCATCAGGCAGAGCAGAAGAGCTTGTTCAGCATCACCTCCCCTCGCATTGTGAAAACACAAAGAGGAGAACAATGCAAATGCAAACAGTTACTTCCAGCTGAAACTGGAATGATCAAAACCAGTGAGAGAGGAGGAGGAGGAGGAGGAGGTGGAGGAGGAGTGCTGGAGTGAACCAGGCTGGCCTTGGCTGTCAGACACCTTCTGGCCCCCGAGATGCTGCAGTCTGCACCACACCACCTGCACAGATTCCTGCCATTCACCTTCAGCATCCACCCCAAAATCAGACCTCCTGTTTTATTCACAGTGAGAATATCATGGAATATGATCTACCAGAACAAGCTGCCTTCTACATCAACCACAACCATTGCAGTTTGATGTCCTATGGGAATTAAAGTGACAAATTTTCTTAATTATAAAACTGTAGGTGGTGGGTGATTCTACCACTTGCTCCCCCTGTAACTACCTTGTTTCTGCAGCCAATCTCACTGGTGCCACTCCAGGAACCAGCAAACAGCCACGTGCTCTCACTGCACCTCGCTCTTTAATGACTTGCCTCAAGAAATTGCTCAATCACTGCACAAACCCCCAGCATTAGAAGGTCCCACCAAAGCGGTGTCCGCTGCAGGACACCCACCTGCCCTGGGGAATTCACAAGGCAGCTACAAGACACGCAGAAAAAAACATAAGATGTTCAAGTTGCAGGAAAGGAGGAGAGAGAAGAGTGATCCCAATCTTCTGTGCTGACAAGGAGGGGTGAAATACTCATTAGTCCTGGGCTATCACCCGGCAAACAAGAGACCATCAGCAGGTACCCAGCACAATCCAGCCACTCCCCAGTTGTATTAGAAAGGCTTTTGTCCTCTTTGCCCAAAAGGCATGCTTTTGGGAACAGTTTGGATTTAGATAACTCCTGCTGCAGAAGACAGGGAAGCACAGGGTTCAAATAAGAAAGGGAAGACCTTTGTTTTGCCCAGGGAAATGCTGCCCACCTTCGCTGGACCTACTGCCCTGGGGCCACCAGCACTGGTGAAGGGAGCATGGAGATAAGCAGGTTTGCCTCTACCCCAGCAGAAACCCAGCCAGAAACACCTTCCTGGCTGAGAACTGACATTCAATGTCTACATTTCGGAAGGGTAACAGAGCACGAAGCCTGTGGACTGACACATTCATGCAGCATCTGTAGCAGAACTAAAGGCAGAGCTGCTGGGACACGAAGCAAAATGAGAAGAGGTCAGTGACGCACCAAAGAATAAGCAAAAATCTGCTTGCCTGGGTCATGGAGGGTTACAGCTTTTCAGGTTATGACATGAACCAAGGCTGAGCAGGGTCTGAAGCTGTCCTGGGGAAGAAGAACCCACTGTATGACCCAGCAGCCCTATAGGTGACATGCCAGCACCACAATAAAATTGGAAGAGGTTACTTGGGTTTCTCGGTCAACTTAAATTACCTGAGAGCAGAATTCAGATTCAGGCCCTGCTCTAAATCCCATTTTAAGCTTCTCAAGCGGGTTTCCGATTTGAGATCTGCATTTAATAACAGCCAGAGGCAGGCTGATTTGAATGCACCAATACACAGACGCATTAGTAAAACCCTGTAAAAAAGCACACCAAATATTCTGCTGCCCCACAAACAAGCCAGAGGAATTCTCCCCCACTTGCACAGACTGCAATGCTCGGGGTTTGTGGTGAACATATGGCTGGCGCCGGGGCTCCTATCTGGGCCAAGCAACGTGTGCTGGGTTGTGTTATACAAGTGCATCCATCTCTGCTGCAGCTGTGTCACCGATCGGTGCCGACTCACGGCTGGCTCCGTC